GATGATGGCAGAAGAGGTGACACTCTCAACAACAGACTTGTAGAAGATCTGCAGCAACTTGCTGCAGACATTGAAGGATCTTAGCTTCCTTAAGAAGTACAGTCTGCTCTGTCCTTCCTTGTAGACTGCTTCACTGTTGAGTCTCCAGTCCAGTCTGTTGTCCAGATGAACACCGAGGTATTTATATTCCTCAACCACCTCCACTTCTTCTCCCATGATGGAAACAGGGTTTGATCTAACACTATTTCTCCTGAAAACTACAATAATCTCCTTTGTTTTGTTCACATTCAAGTTGAGATGATTGTTCCCACTCCATGTCACAAAGCGGTCCACCAGCTCTCTGTACTCAGCTTCCTGTCCATCTCTGATACACCCAATAACTGCAGAGTCATCCGAGTATTTCTGTAGATGACAGCAGTCTGACTTGTGCTGGAAGTCAGAAGTGTACAGTGTGAACAGGAATGGTGAGAGTACAGTTCCCTGTGGTGCTCCTGTGCTGCTGACCACCTGGTTAGACACACAGTCCTTCAGTCTCACAAACTGTGGTCTGTTTGTCAGGTAGTCCTTGATCCAAGCAATTGTTGAGGCCTCCACCGGAGTCTTCTGGAGTTTCAGACAAAGCAACTCAGGCTGAATTGTGTTGAAAGCACTGGGAAAATCAAAGAACATGATCCTCACAGTGCTGCCTGCTTTGTCCAGATGACAGTGGGTTTGTTGAAGCAGGTGTATGATGGTGTCGTCAACTCCAACTCCACGATGACATGCAAACTGCAGGGGGTCCTGATGTATGCTTGTTTGTTTACTCAGGTGGGTCAACAGGAGTCTCTCTAGGACCTTCATGATGTGGGATGTCAGGGCAACAGGTCTAGTCATTGAGGGCTGATTGTCATAGTCTGTATTTATTTTCCTTGGTTGTCCTAGTGCTTCTGTTCCCCTGTGTGTCTCAGCTCAGCTGCCCCACATTACACTGATTGCCACCCTCATGTTTCTTACCAGATGTATTCTGTTCATTCGTTAGTTTTCAGTGTATTTAAGTCCTGTCCTGTATCAGTCTTGTGTCAGTTCATTGTGTTGTGTTCTTCATCTGAGTGATCTCTCTGTGACTCTTCTGAAGACCTGTAAGTTTTTGTACTGCCCTGCCAGCCTTTTTTTATTTAAAATAAATCCTTTTGCACCATGGTTCTTGCCTGTGCCATGGGTCAGTCCCTGCAAAATCCTCACATAATGAACCGACCAAGTCCCCAGCCTGCAGGCAAGATTTTCAGTGCAAACAAAATGTTTGTGATGTTGCAGCGGAACCGTGAGG